AAATAAGCTCTCTAAATATCTCTTGTAGGTTGAATGCAAGATGAGATGAATATTTATAGGGCAAAGAAGACACAATCTATCACTTTAGATTGTTTGTTCTTCAATGGATGACGATTTGTGCATTTGAATGTTTAGGAAGAATTATATATGAAAAACTCAAAAAACTAGATATGTTAGAAACATAAATATATTGTTTGTTATAATCAAAACAAGTAGAGCTAATCATAGGTCAATAGTGTTATTGTACAAAGATCTTGAGAGACGATAATACTATTGAAGACGAACCCAAGTGGGTAAAATACCTTCACGTGAGAGTTGAGAGAGCGCTCAATATGCAAAATGTCCACCACGCACTCTTGAATGCTTATGTGACCTTCACTGCCCGTTGGTTCTTACATGGTGGCTCTGTTGATTTGAGGGTATAACGAATCCATTATGCTTTAAAAATTTACTCACCAATTAAATACGTCGTTAATCATCAAATATTAATGTATATTTTGTATGTAATATTTTATTATACAATGAGAAAAAATATTTTTATTTTTAGACTGAACTGATTGTGACGAATATTATTTTTAGACTCAAAATGAATAAAACCTCTGAAAATGCTGCCCAAATCTTCCTTTTCTCAGAATGTAGCTCTCTCTACAACTTGCTCAGGATGTCGCCGACTAAACTGAGGAACAAAGCTTTCGAAAAATCAACTCGACCAGATCTGATACTTATCTCTAGGCGAAGATCCAAAACCATAACCAATCGTTGTCTTCTACACAAAATCAAAATTTGAAGCCCAATTGATTTCAAAATCGCATATCGGCTGATCTCCACACCAAATCACGCAACACCTCACGAAAATAACACATTTGCTCGCCAATATTTCACCTCCGGCCCCGAAGATGAACAGACCAGACCTAGAATTTTGAAAGACAACCACCCAGAAAGTAGAGTACCCAAAGGGAGAACCAAACTTTCCCTCTTGAATTTATCCAAATCTCAAATCAGGAACATTATGCTTTCTGGTGCTGAGTTCTGGCCACCGGAATGTGATGCGACTTTGTAGGGATACATCCAAAAAGAAAAAAAAGAAAAAGAACATTGGTAGCCGGACGAGCGGCTCAAGGCCGCTCACCAGAAACGAAATTCAAAGGTTAATTTGTTTATGATCGAAACAGGAGGATACCATGTGAAGAATATTATAAATTGTATATAATAAACCTATTTCTATTACAAAGTAAAAGACACTCTAAAAGGAAAGATTGCATAATAATTATACAATCAACGATTAAGGAAAATAATCCTACACTATTGAAAAAATATTATAGAGATTATTCTTTTCATATTTTCAACAATAAACAATTTAAATACAACTAGATAGAAATGAGTGGTAAATAAGCGGACAATACTTGTGAGTTTCTCGAAATATGTGAATAAAAAGAGGCAGGAGTGTTTATTAGCCGTTTAAAAACACAAGCCAAACACAAGCTTAATGTTGTCCCGATCGGATCTTTATTCAAGTATTTGTTTAACATCAAATGAATTTGTCCAACTTCCGAGAAGAATACAAGGACAACAATCACCCTAACCTCACTTTGCAACATGCTAAGTCCAAATTCGAGCATTCTCTATGAAAGGGAGCATCGCGTGATAAAGGCACTAACAAGTTCCACTTGGGTTTGCCAACATATCCAACTCTCGAGTTCATAAATGTGTGCAGAACATAGGAGGATATGTAGCAAAATAATGATTGACAAAACGAAAAAAGGCAACAAAAGAATGGTCATTAGACAATGTAAAGTTCAAAAGACAGAATTGGTATATTGAAACTTGTACTACTAGCGAAATCATATAAAACACACTCATACAACGGTGGCATGTCAGCATCGGACACTCCAGAACACATGGTGTGTCCTATTTTTTATAAATTCATTGAATTTTCGATACTCAAAGGACACTTCTAGATAAGCCTTGAGCACATGGTCATTCGAATCATGTGACGTGGCCAGAGATTTCTTATATTCTTTATAGTCCTAACTCGTGAGGAATAAGCAAGCGACACATTAAGGATGCGGATGTAAAGTTTGGAGTGGAATTTAAACATTAAAACATTAGTGTAAAATATTCAAAATAATGTCAGAAAAATTCAACGAATTTCATGTTGAATTTATTTATATATACTACACGTATTTTTCTTTATGTGGCTGATTAATAAATGTAGCTTAAACCAAAGTATCTTAATATAATAAATAACACTCCATTTATTTGAATATTTTAAGCGCATAAATCAAAGATAAAAAATATTTATTAAAAAATAGAGAAGTATAAAAATTACAATATACTTATAAATGTATAGTTTCAAAGAATTTAAATTGGTGTGTTCTTGATGTGTCCATGCTCAACCCTTTAGAAAAGGAAAGTGTCGGTGTGTCCCTATAGTGTGGTCTATGTGGCTTGTCAGATTCCAATATACGTAACAATTTATGACAACCAGACAAATAATAATAAAAAAATCAAAGTTCTCTTACCTAAATTAACTTCCAGAGAATAAATCATATGGTAGAAAGCAAACATTAAAGACACCATATGACATAAAGCAATCCCAAATGACCCGACCTACATTATCAAGATCACCTATAACTTAAGCAAAACGTAATGTCAGTTTGTTTTTTACTAAAATAGGAGTTATTCATATTCCATTCATGTAAATGCATCAAATGAATCATAGAGTGCTGCAATCTACTGCTTACTTTTTGGCATGCTCATAGAAACAGTCACACTGTCATAAAATTCAACCATGCATAAATGAAGTGAGAGAGTTAAGATACAAACCTCAGAGCCTCAAAGGTTAATGAGATTTCTTCACCATTGTTTGATGTGGAACTGCTATAGCTAATAGGCTTAACAATCTGAGTAATGTTGCACTTTTCTTTGGAGTTGTCAAATTTATTCTTGAAATCCCAATCATTCACCATAAATGCATGAGTTTGCAAATCTTTCTGTTCTGCCATACTACAAGCAGAAATTGCATTTTGTGTACCGTCCCCGCTGCGTAATGCTGACTCTTGCTTGAACCTCTTAACTGGAAAAGATTTCCTCTTTTTAGCTCCAGTGCAACGGCCAGATTGAACTGGATCCCCACCATCAGGCTTGGGCAACCCATTTGCAAGGACATCTCCTCCAGTAACTAAGTCCTCTTGTGAATGATGTACACCAAACTTATTTGCGTTCTCTTCACTGACCATAATTGATTCCTTCAGTTCACAAAGCTTCAGATCCAATTCATTTTGCTCTTTACTTTCTCCCCTCGTAGGGGACACCATTTTCATACCATGCTCGTTCAGTTTCTTGCATATCTCAAAGCCATTCACACCGCTGACATCAGTTTTCCCTTTGCCATTCATAACATTTAAGTTATTTAGCTGAGGATAGTTCATAGGGCCCTCCGCAATCCCAACCCTATGAGAAGGCACATTATATGTAGTAGCTACAGAAGGTCGCTGCTGCTGTTTTTTCTTCACCTGAGCATGAGTGATACCATGTTTGCGCTTTCGCCCACGTGCTGACCTACTTTTACCTGTTATCAAACTTCAAAATAAAAAAAAAAGGGTCAAAACTAAGTATCTGTGAATTACATAAGCATCATCCTAATTATTCCATATGCGTATCTATTACGAAACTCGGGAACTAAATGCCATCAAAATAGGAAAAAAAAGCCCACCTTTCTTCAAAAGCATCAATAACATCGGAGCATTGCAATAGATTCTTTACAGGCTCCCATGTGTTCTCAGCTTCGGGCCAGCCTCGCCTTTCCAAAACAACCCATTATATTGATTAACACAAAAATTCCCAAAACACATGAATTCATATACATATGTGAAGAATGTATCTAAACCACTCACCATTTTATGAGGTACTGCACTTGGCCCTTCAATTTGCATTCCAGAAAACCCCAAAATCATCAAACAGACACAAAATCAGCTAACAAGGAAGAAATTCGCGAAACCCACCAGTATCGATACCCCATTTTGGTTTCTTTTTGAACTCCTCTTACATATAAAATTAACGAACAAAGAATAATCTGATAAAAAAATTCCACCTTCTCTAAACACAGAAAAAAGAGAAATGACGAACCTTTCGAACTCGCTTTCTGCGTACGGCCTCGATCTCATAATACCCATCAGCAAGCTTCGAGCGCTCGGCCTCAGCTCCCGCCTCGGGCTCTTCGATTTGCAGGTTTTCGAAGTGGTTATAGTCTTTTTCAGTCTCGGAGTCATCATCTTCGTCTCCGTCATTTTCTTCTTCCAAAGTCTCCTCTGTAGCTTCAAAACGCTCATTTTCCTCTCGGAGGTCCTCCGCCGCACCTGCTACATCATCATCGCCATTCACTGTGGCCGGGTGGTCAGAGTGTGGCGTTAGAGGAGGTTGTACGTACTCCGTACTGGGTTTCTTTTTCCCTCCTTTCATTTTCTCTCTCAACGAACTTTTTCCGATTCTCTCTATGATTTTGTTGTGTAACACCCTGTCCTGACGGTGTAGAGTATTTTATTTGTTAGGGAACATCCTTGAAAGAGGGTTCATTGAAAAGAGCCCCTTTTTCATTGTCAGAGAAAAAAATGGCGTTGACGAATACTAAACATATCATTAAAGATGACTATTTTTTTTCATGAATATACACAATTTTGCTTTGAGAAAACATTCTCAAGATATTTCTGATATTTATTTATTTTTATCAAATATCGAGTTTCTTAAATAATTTGTTGTGATTTCGAGACCCCATATTAAAACTTTAATACATTTTTCTCACTATTCTCTCTAATCACACGTTATTTAATAAAATAATATTACACGTAAATTTTAAAAAAATAACTTTTTTAATCACACATTCTTCTAAAAATTATTATTCAAAAGTACATTATCTCCAAAAATCTCATTATAACGAGAGCTAAACAAGGGCCAAATGTTCATAACATGTAAATCATTTGCACGTGGATATGAGTTGTGAAGTAAAGAAAATTGATAATCACACACTCTCTCAAAGTAAATATCATGAACAAAATAATTTAATGTTTGGTGTTACTCTCGAGTTGCTACGTATTAGATTGGGATGATAGCTTGATGATAATTTTATTTTTATGGACTGGCATAATTTGTTAATAGATTGTAGAAAAGAAACGAAGTCAATTAGTCATTCTTCGTACTTTAATTTATTTAGTGACCAAAATTAGATGTTGATATATAGTCAAGGTTTAGAACAAAAAATCATTTATTTTGCATCAAGCTTTTGAGGGGACTCACAATGCCTAGTTAAAGCGCAGTTAAACTGCGGTGATGTGCAATATCTACAGATCGTGTTAAGGGCATCCCTCCACTGGACAAGCTGACTACTGTCATAGTCGACCTTTGTTTTCATCAACAATGTAACAAGATTAGATCTGATGGTATTCACATAATTTGCGATAAGGGTGAACGTAGGTATCACGAGTTACTTGACTAAGAAGTGTATCTATATTGCACGAGCAACCTCTTTGGATGGTTAGAAAATTCATCTTCTTAGCAATCTTTCACAATAAATTTGAAGTTAACGACGTAAGTAGAATTCATCAATCATGATTGGGGCAACATCATCTTCTTCATAAGAGTAATTCTCCTATAAATACTGTGTTAGATTCATATATTGTATTGGGGATTTTGTGAATAAAAGGACCAATTTGAACGATTATAAAAGTTTAGAGAATAAATTGTAAAGTTTTATAGTTGGTAGGTTAGCTTAGGGTTTGGGATATCATGTTTGGAACAAGAAGGATTCACGCCGATTTTTTACTAGCTGTTCGCAGGAGTCATGCTTGAGCGGATGAAGCAGAAACATCCTTACTCGAGCTTCGCCCAACTGTATAGCTCAAGCGACGGACACTTCACTCGAGCGACATGTTCTTCTCGCTCAAGCGACTAATTATATCAGCAAAACCTAATTTCGATTTCCGAGACTTTTACTTGGCCCAATTCTCTTAAACTGTCTAACCTATAAATAGAGGCGCCGTATATTTTTCTGTGAGAGATTGAACACATTATTTTCATTGTGGTTACATTCTACACAAGATCAAAAGTTCAATTCTTCAATCATATATGAGCTTATCATATTGAAAATATCAAATCCATCAAATCAAACACCAAATTGAATTCTTCGCTTGGGTCTGTAAGAAAGATTGTGTCGTCAATGGTACTGCTTCAAAGATCAAGAAAGAAGTTGAAGAACGAGGAGTTCTTGGGTAGATTTATAGGAGATAAATTGCGTAAAGAGTCATGATTGGAGTTCGTGAGCTCATTCCAGGAGAACTGCTTTACAAAGAAGAGCCAGAATTGGTGTTAGTGTGCACATTCCAGGAGAGTTGCTTCAAACTTCAGACAGGAAATCAGAAAGCTTATTTGGCCAACTTTGCGGTAGTCTGTAAGTTTATCAAAATTTTATAGTGGATCTTTGACTGACAAAGTGCTCGGAGTTTTTCCCGCGTTGGGTTTCTCCGTGAACATTTTTGGTTTTGTTTAGTGTTGTACTTATTGTTTGATATTACTGCAGCATTCAAAGATATGACTAATTGAACTGTTTGACTAATCACCTAAATATAATTAATTTGTGACTTGTTGCTTGTTAATTTTTTTTAATTCCGCATCTACACCTAACACTCCCCCTCTAGATGTAGTTGGGTCGAATCTTGAGTTTTTCATACTGTACTGACAACACCTATATGACTACTTTTTTTATCATCCGCCAATGAAAAATAAATGAATTACACACAGCATCACTCTCTTCATAAATGATTTCCCAATGAAGACAATTTTTGTTTATCGAGAAGTTGATAGATTTGGTATCACCGAAGGCACCACTTTTGATAGATTTTTATGTAAAATAGTCCTTTTCTAATGGTCAAAGTGTAAAAGTTGTCATTTACTTTTTTTATTTTATCAAAGACATGCTTTCAACATTTTCGAGAGTTCACGAGCTACTATGGAAACTATTTTTCATAGATATATACAAAATTTGCTTTGAGAAATCATTCACACGACTAGCTTTGATCTGTACTAACAAGATATGTTGGATATTCATATTTTGTTAGTATTGTTATTCCTCGTCATCGAGACTCCTACGTGGCATCCCACGTGGAGTGCAAGTGGACCTACCAAAACTCTCTTGCTGACCGAAGTCCTCTTGCCGAAGTGGGGGGCTCAAGGAGGTTAAATTCGAAGCTCTACCACGACAAGTGACGACCCGCCTCTTTTGAAGATCTCCTATTGATAAAATCATGTTTGAATGATTGATGTGATCCCTATAATGAGTAATGTGTCGAAATCTTGTCAACATAGGTTGTAGGGTAGCTGTCCTTTTTTAAGTTTATTAAATGCGCCATAGGCTAGTAGGACCAGATTGACGTTTAAGATAAGATGCTTCGGTTGAATAGATGATGCCACGTGTCTCTTCATCCAAAAGACATCATTTCACATGTAACACTATAAATATCCCCCAATATCATTTGGGGGTAATGCAAATCCATCTATTTTAAGCCTCATAATATCATATCCTCTTGAGTTGAATCTTTTATTGGTAGGGTTAGATATTTGATCTTAACTTTTGGTTTGTGTATTGTTGATTGTTCCTTATCATGCGATTCCGCTCATACACATGTTGTTGACATCTGAAAATTTTTGTTTATCGTTATAAAGCTTCTCCGCTGTCCAAACCCAAAATATCATTGACTAGTAACCTGTCCTACTAAAATGTTGAAATTAGTTTACGTAGATGCAAGCGAGCTGAGTATCTATTATCCACGTCAACAATACAAATAACAAGGTCAACAAGTATTGATCTTGTTAAATAATTTGTCGTGGTTTCAAATGTTCATTAACATGCGAACCATTTGCACGAAAAGGAGCTGTGAAACAAAAGAATTTGTAAATTGCCTTCTTTCTCAACGTGGAAATTATGGACAAAATGATATAAGATTTGGAGGTAACGGTAATTCATCGACTGTGCCAACTCCTTACTACTTGGCATATTGGGATGGTAGCTCGAGGCTAAATTTGTTTGGTTATTAATGAACCTGGAAAGGGCAAAGTATAATAAAAGTCAGGAAATCATTTATTTATTTATCCAACTTCCATTTATTCAACAATAATGCTATTTATTATTATGATAATGGAACATCGATGATGTGATAGTCTATGTGGAATAACAGGATTTGACAATTCGATTTTTATGACAGAGATGGGAGAGGGGGAGGAGAGAAAAAAATGTGAGAAATAATAGATTGATCACCGATATTCCATCATCATGATGATAAATAACATTACTCTTTATTCGGTCACCAAAATTAAATACAGACATATAGCTCGGGTGTAGAACAAAAATTAGCTGTTTTGCATCAAGCTTTTGAGGAGCTCATTCAAGAGTAACTCGAACTATTACTCAACATACCACAAGAGCTGTTGAGGTATCAAGAGTACTTGACCATAAAATATATCTATATTGCTTTGCATTTTGGAAGGTTAAAGTATTAATCCTCTTGACGATCATTCAAATAAAGTTGAAGTTCTTGTTGTACTTACTATTCGTTGATCACAAAGAGGGCAATGCTATCTTCTTCATACATGATCTCCAAGTGAAGACAAGGATATATATATATATATATATATATTTTTTTTTTTTGAATCGATGGTGGTTTTAATACCCATCGAAGGCTATCTATAACAATTGAATCAATGACTATCTGTAACAACTAATTCCTTCTTTTTAAGTAATACGTTTAGTTAACGAGGTGGTGTATCCATTGCTCAACGATGGCAGGAGAGCCATACCATGGCCTTGTAGTGTCATCTGAACCAACGGGAGAGTGGTAAACTCCGTCCAGACTAATGTTGAGAGCGCCTTCTAGATGTGCAGAAATTTCTGGCACGACCCCGTCCCCCCATACATCTGCTTGCCCACAAACCTGTCACATTCCCCAAATGATACACACCATTGGAAAACTGTGCTTTTCGAGACATAAATGATTGATAAGAAACAAGACAGAAAAGAAAGACTTGACGAAAAGAGAATAATCCAGGTGAAACACAAGTGAGAACTCATTGGCAATATAGTAATTTGAACACAAGAAAGACGCAGAGTTTACCTGCTTGTACCCTTGACCAACAAAACGAGCACGCAATGTAGCAGCTGCTGGTGTTGATGTGGTAGTCCCATTCACAACAGCAATATCAGCAGCTGGCTGGTCAATGTCAACCACGACTGCAGAACCACCGTCATTAGTATCACCAATTAAGCGAGCCCCTTGCAGGTACCTGCCATTCTCAAAATCCATTCAGTTTCTTGATTTTACTGGACTTTCTTGCAAGTAAAGTTAACTTCACTAATGGTAAACTCAAGTAAGTGCTTCGGTTTATATCACTGCAGTGTATTTTTTCATACGTGTAGCATCTTAAATTTTAGCCATCAATATACCATCCCGTGACAATCACAGGTGTCCGTCTGAAAAATGAATAATGTTGAGTTGTAAATAAGATCCTTAACCAACTAATACTTACTAATGGACATTTCCTAATTCCTACTTCTTTAGCAATTAAGATAGAGTCTCTACAGGTTGGAAGGATTTTTAGTGATTTTTTGCAAGATTATTCTAATTGCTTCAACTGACATTCTCAAATTACTGCAAATAAGAAATTTCACTTATAATCAAAATACGATGGACTTAAATGATTTATTTTTTTCCAAACTCGTTGTGCACAGTAATGTAAATAAGATGCATTAAACTTATGATTGGAATAATTAATAATCTCAGTATTCGAACCTTCTGCAACTATAATCCAACCAAAATTATGTTTAACACATCTTATATAGAAGGTTTAAAGGCTAAAATTGACAATGCACTCTCCTTGTCCTGAATCTTCGCTCCATAGAATTCCTCTTACCTTCCTTGTACTATCTCCCCTTATAGGGTAATTAGAAAATACTGCAAAAGACATGTAAATATTATAAATATGCCAGAGTTTGGGTGTCATTAACTCCTTTTTCTCAAACTTGGCAAGTTGCATCCCATTTAGTAACAACTATCAATGATAATCAGTAAATGGTTATATGTTGACAATGTGCAGATTCTGAGCTAAGACCACGTAGGCTTTACAGTCATCTTCTAAGACTCCATACCTACGGTTTTTACCCACTAAATATCCATTTGCTAGATGCTAAAATAACTATATGTTGCAAAAAAGTACTCAAGTTGGTCGTCCAATGCAAAAAAAATTGTCATCTTATTGAGAATATTATATAGGAATGTTATGTAAACCTTTTTCTTCTATGATCCAACCACTAGTAAGTGATATCACTAGCGCATTTTCACTGATAACAAAGAGTCATCTATAAGTATACCTTCCTGCTACGCAAACATATCTTAGTTCGGGAGTATAAACAGCTTTTGCACAATGCTGTTCGACATAATTCAAGAGCCCTCTTGTTTGATCTATCACTCCTGATACACCTTTTGGTGGGGGACTGACAAGAAAAACATTGGACGGTTATACACTTGCAAACAAAAAACAATTCGTAAACCATAAATAAGTTTAACTAGAATAATCTAATGAGCACATGAAAGAACAGATGTAGAAGTTAAAAAAAAAAATGAGGGGAAGAAGTACTTATGGAATGATACTTACAGATGTGGGGTTCCTAAAGTCAATAGCAAGGAAATATCTGATGGCTCGAATTCTTGTAAGTACACACGTGCCAGCCATCCTCCTGCTGAGTGCCCAACCAAAGATATGTTTGCACCTATGATGGGAAGTGCCCCACTATCAGAATAACAAGAGATATCTGGTCTATATAGAGGATTCAATATGTCAATTCTAGTTCCCCCCTACAACAGCATGATATAGGTAATCGAACATTTCCTGTTGAATACAGAGGATTTCATAAGGCAATTACTTAGAATTATAATATTGGAAACACTAGGCCACAATATTAACTAGATTCTAATGCTCTCTTTCCCTGTTGTGGCATCAAATGCTTGATGCAGCTATCAGAAAAGATTCTCTTATTGAAACAATATTTTTGAAGGCATCAGTTAAGGAAATAAGAAATAAATGAAGAATTATTCTCACTACTAAACGAAAATATCAATCTGGAATAAGAAATAAGGCAGTTAAAAGTCAACAAATCCCATTAAATAAATGGAGAAATAAGCTAAGAAGTCATTAACAATGCACAAAATGCAACTGGCATTTGATAGATCCATCATGTTTAGATAAATTCAGGTTCACTTATCCATAAAGCAACGGTATCTAAGGACTCAAATTGAATTTGGGCATAATAACTCGATAACCAACCAATTTTGCATCTTTTCATATCAAAAAAAAATGAAAATAAATAAACAATAACTTATATCAAAAGAAAACTTGTATAACAGTTGTAACTAGATTACAAAAACCTTGGGCTAATTCCTTTGCTTCATTCACCGCCTCATCGACCCGCTTAAGATACCTGACAAAAATTACAAATAATGTGAAAACTTTGAATCGATAACTGAGGTACATAAATGACCACCACAATGATGATTACAATTATTACCAGTCAAGAACCGGCCGAGGGCGCAGAGTGCCTTGCCAATAATTTGGGTCCACCAAGCCAGCAGCATTTCTCAACCAATCAATTCTTGAAACCTTTGCAACTACAGTAGGAACCCCATATTCTTTCAGATTAAGAGTCAACTTCTGATAGTCATTTGTGTTGTTTCCTAAGCCCTGCAAAAAATAGGTTGCCTACTGTAAATAATGTCTATATGTTGCATTTTTGTGTATTATAATAACTAAAAAGTATGTAATAAAAACCTAAAAACCATGTACACCTTTGGACCTGATATTTAAGCTCTGACTCACCTACATGGACAAACCCTGGTGCCAACATAGTATTGTTTCAATCCATTAAAAAGAAATACCCGGCAAGGAATTTTGCTAACTTAGGACTAAATTGGATACAAGTCTTCATGAACCATTTTGATTGATGCATTAGACCATTTGTTCGATATTCAAACCAAAAGATGCACATAATTGGAAAAGTGATGGTGAAACAGAATTGTGTTCCAAACTTAACTCCATCATCTCTAGCCATTCACAAGTATACACAAACAATATAGAAAGTTATGTCAACAATTCCCATAATTCATGTACTTGCGCCAGAGATTATCAAGACTGATGCTGCAAACTTCAGAGAATTGATGCAAAGGATCTCAGGAAAGCCCATAGATTCCAAATGGAGCAAGAAAAATCCAAAAATTTCGAGCAAGGAAGAGCCAAGAATTTTTGTCCCCCAATAAGCCTGTGGCTAAGCAAATGGAACTGGCCATGATAAGTGGATTTCATGCATCAGGGTGGGTTTAATTTTTCTGTTTCATATCCCCACACCACAGACTTTTTAATGTCAGATTTATTCAATATTCAGAATCAAAAGAATATATAACTACATATTGGTATAAGTCTACAATGGGAAAAAAATAAAAATAAAAATACAACCTTGTTAGATAAATATTGGCCATGAAAAATTCCAAGCAAATTAGTGATTGATGCAACTGCATTTTCAGCACCATTGTGATGAACATTCAGTATGTATACACAGAGAGAGAGAGAGAGAGAGAGAGAGAGAGAGAGAGAGGAGGAAAGTAACTGGAAGAATGACAGCAGGGCGGCAAGTGGAGGAGGTGGTGGTGGGAGGGGAAGATGGCGAGTCGTCAGTCCTTGAGATTGTAGAGCTGCATCGGCAACACCGCCTTGATTTTGTAAAATTTGTCGGTCGTAATGAGAAAACTGGTGGCGGAGCCAGAGCCAGAGCCAGAGCAAGAGCCATCTTCCACCGGCTAAAGCCCACCACCACTGATAGTCAGGCGCTTTTGTGGTGGTTATTATTTATTAATTAATGGCTTTTGGAGCTTTTGCTCTAGTAGGTCTCTCAACTCTCAATACAATTTCAATTTGATCCGTACCAAACCATTCCAACCAAAATAACCCCACGTTATTTATTGAATGTACGTGTGGACATGAGTGGCCGTTAGTTGGACAATTAAGCCCCTGTTTGTTAGGGATTAAAATCAAATTTTTAGTATATTTTAATAAAGTTGATAAAATGTGTGTTTGAAAAATCGTGAATTTTTTTTTTTTTTATAACTGTGGATGTTCGGGCCAACTTGCGCGCACCTCGACTAATTCCACGGGGCTCTGAAGTTTACGGCCGGGTACTCACCTCAGTGGCCCCGAGTGGACTCGAACTGGTGACCATTGGGGAGTAAACCCAATGCCTGACCAATTGAACAACCCCTCAGGGTTAATCGTGGATCTCATCGAATATATGATTAAAATTAGTCGTTGACTTAGATTAAAATCTTAAATTATATCACCAAACAGTGGCTAAAACTATGCTTGTGCGAAAATGTTGCTTCCACCCAACATTTTGTGGATACCTTTCAACGTTGTATATTTGCATAAAATAAATTGAGTTCCCGTTTGTTTCTCATTTTTCATTCATAAAAATGAAATATGACCGTTATCCATCACATCAAACCATCAATTTTGAATTTTTATCTTTTGTGTGAGGTTCAATAACGGCTATACTTTTCATTCATATTATACAATAATGAGAATCAAACGGGACTAAAGTGAAATGTCCATTGTCACCTAAATAACCTATTCCAATGCCAACGATATTGATAGGTGTTAAGGTCTAAGGGTCAAACAAATTTTCTTCACACAATTATCTAAGATCCCACGTTTTAGGAAACACTTGAATTTTATGAATTTTCTTTTCAAATAGTCTCATTATTAGATTCCCAAGTCAAAATGATCTGATTGTAACAAGTAAAAAAAAATTTATTTTCCTAATTTAATTTATTGACATCAAATCTATAGCAAGTAATAAAAAATATTATGAATAAAAAGTTTGTAAGTAATAATTAACAGCTGATTTTTCATATTAAAATTATCTTAATAAATTTAATTCATTGATAAAAAATTTGTCATTAAATAAATGAATAAAATAAAAAAATAAATATCCCTTCAAAAAATTGTGAGAAATATAATTTAAGATAACAATTGGGTTTTCATTTAGTAATAAAAAAAAAAATTATTCCCTTCAAAAAGTTTCTGTTTTTTATGCTCGAACCAAGCCTTGGCGACAGTTTGGCGAAAATTCGCGCCGTTTTCTTTCTTTTCCATTTTCGAACCCTAGACCTAAAATATCACAATTTATACTAATTGCACACTACTCCTTGACTTTTTACAACATATCAATTTTAATCTTTTTTGTTCATAGAATATCCAATTACATTAAATACCTAACAAATACCAATATTGATTTATAGATTTCAAATATCCCTACACGAAGTGGTTCCAACTTATAAAGAAAATGTGCAATGTTTCACCAAGAAAACCATCAAAAAATTCGAAAAATTTAGCCAACGGTAGAATTTTATAACTATGCGACCGCATAGGCTATAACTATGCGGTAGCATAGTTATAACCTTGGCTGCATCTGAATTTGATGATCGTGCGCCTATGCGACCTCATGCATAAGAGGCCTATGCGGTCACATATGACATTTTCATGGCGTCAATTTTTTCATTCATCCACGATTTGTCCATCCATGATTTTGAACAACCAGATTCCAACACATACAAACAAGTACAGAACAAATTACAAAATAAAACAAAGAAAAAATGATCACTATCGACGAATCTAAGTTGAACACTTGAGGAAATATCATTGTAACAACCAAAAAGCAGAAATTTTGACAAATGGAATTGAGCATGCACAGCTATATTCAGGGAAATGGCTCCAAAATTTCAAACAGCTTTCGCATGCTATAATTACACAACAAAGGTTCAAAACAAGTTCTGCTAATCTTCCAAAATTAGTTAATTATTTCTGCACAAGTGGCTCACCAAATTCCTAATTTTTGTCCATGGCCTTCTTCGCGAGCTCATAACCAGCAAAATTCACGGCACCTAATGGCCATTTCTTCAGCCGCTGCTTTTCTGTCCGAGACCAAAAGGGTCTGCTTCCACAAAGAAGAGTATAAGCAATAACACCAATAGTACTCCACATGTCAGCTTCTGTTCCATATGATCTATGCAAAACTTCGGGTGCCATCCTGTAAGCATTATGTTGACTTGGTAAAAAGAAAAAAGCGAGAATAATGTCAGAATCCTAGGTGACATGATGTGATTTGATGAAAAAGATGACTATGTTTTAAGAACCATGCTTGATGTATACCCCTGGTGTACATCATGGATGACAACCCCCTGACATGGGGGGTGGGACTTGTATGTACACCAAGGTGTACATTCAACATTATTCATGTTTTAAACAGTCAAATGATTGTGTCATGTGACATTATGTCAAGTATTATATCAATTATGCTGACACTGTAGCATGGTTAATAAGAATAAGAATTTTTTTTCTTTTTTTTTTTTCAGCGTACAATTTTAAAATTCTAAACACGTCTAAAGTTCAACAAATAGATATCACCATTACTGTTACATTGGGCTATATACGTATAACTAGTTAATAATAATTTAATTTGCTTAGTGAACTATGACATTTTATAGACAATTCACCAGTTAAATTGGAATATATGCGTAGTTTTGTTTGAATTAGTTTAACTAAAAAAATTATTAAAATTTAAGTCAAAATCAACAATTAATTTTAGGATTAATGCAGATGTACATAGGGTCGGTTTCACAGAAGTGTTACCGACCCTCACATGAGGTGGGTCCCGAGCTAGACCCACCTGATTAAAAAATCATTCGAATTTTTTCCCGCCCTCCCATGTGTGTATTTGTAGAGCTTCCGTGAAGCTTCACATCTGTAAATGTAGCACGGTTCTTAATTTTAACTACACATTTCATAGGAACCACAACCAAATAGGTGTATATAGTGAATGAAAATAATAAGGGAGCCGCCATTTACATTTACCATTGTTATATATCTATCACACTCTATATTTATCCCCGTTAAAATATTATATTTTAGAAAAAAATATTATTTTCATTCACATCACATTTCAATATCGTCTTTATTGATTTCATTCATTTAAATACGATACGTCCGCACCACTTTTATATATTTATCCCACACTAAGGCCTTGTCTGGGAGTGATTTCCTTCTTCCAAAAATTGATTTTCCTGCCGTTTATTTTTTACCGTTTCTCACAAAAGTCTCAGCCGCAATTGTGGAATTCTTATCGTTGCTGGGCTTCAACAGTCCAAAAAGTAGTTTTCTGAGAATTAGAAGTGCTCCCAGACAAGCAGTAAATCTATCCTTATCACAAATTCAAAATTTTGAAAATCATTATATTCATCCCCCATTACATATCTCATAATTCAATAATTAATTCTATAAACCAAAAATTATAAGATGGAATTCTAGAAACCATGTACCCTTATAATCACGGCCATCCTCAATGCGACATTGACTTCATTATTTTATTGAAATTGAACATGATAATTTTAAAGAACTCGTGAAAATTGACAACAGAAACTTGCCTTTTGTCAATCGCCAAAAAAACTGCAATGCATTATCAATTTATACTTCATGAATTCAACATTGGACCAGATACATTACTTCGTGCGACTGAGTTCAACTAAAAAGTTCTTCGGCAAACACTTAAAAATGCTCTCACGCAGAAAGAAATATAACTAAATTATTTTATTGAAAAAATAAATTATGTTGTCACATGGAATTAATGCAATGCTATTTGACATATTGACTCGTAACAAATATTCGTGAAGATTATCTTTTTGGTATTTAAAAAGAAAAGGAAAAAAAATTATGTAATTCTTATCAAAAATTGAGAATAAACTTTGATTGTAGTTCATTATTATCGTCCATAAAGCATAAATATGCGTTGAAGTTACGCGTACATATAAAGATAGGGTAATACTAAGTTGACATTCTCAAATAGAAAGTTTTGTATTGAAGATACCCACTGTCACAGTGTCACTCATCCCAGAATTCCCACATACACACCTCAATAGTTCAATTTGGTAATCTCTCTCTCTCACTCATAGACAAAATCTTGGTTTTCATTTTCTTTTTTAATATCGAACGATACATATTTTTTTAACACAATTCATTGTCCCTTTTTAACAATTGCGTGTAGTTTCGATCCGAAGTTAAAGAAAGATGGGAAATGGAAGGGATAAGCATTATAGTGAGAATAAAGGGATATTTTCTCATCTTGCTGCATATATATGCTGCCGGAGCTAGACATCACCATCCAACCCATTGGGCATACCACTTCTAAGTGTTATGCCCTAGGTCCAATCAACTTTGGACATAAATACTTTGAATATATATATAATCATTGCATATGTATGGCAATATCTATTATTTAATTGAATTAATATTCTAATAAATTAAATAATAGAATCCGTGGATTCAAGTCTTGGTAATTTGTTAATCACAAAAATGTTGCTAAAATATTAATGACAATGCTCAACGAATATTGCTATAAAATTAATGGCAACAGTAAAAAATGTTGCAAAAGGATTATTATCAATACTCAAATAATGATGCAAAAAGATTATTAGCAACAAACATTTGTATCGCAAAAACTTCATTAGAGTAATCGTTGCGACAAACTGACTTGTCGCCCTTTTAACTTTTTGCGACATACATGTATTGCGACGATATTGTGGCAACAAATATGTTGTTGCTATTTCATACTTTTGGAGTCAAACGAATAACGTTGCTTGTTTCTTATTGCGACGAATGATTGGAAGTTGTCGCGAAATACATTCTGTGACTCATATAGTGTGACAATGCCTGCAACAAACATAATGTTGTCGCAAAATTATTTTTGCAATAAAATCTCTATTTATGCGACAACATTTTTTTGTCGCGATTTAGATATTTTCTTGTAGTGCCCCAACCTATACCCAAGTAATAACGAATGGTATATAAAACTCCAAAAAAAGAAAGACGAAAAGAAAGACATTGAACAATTAAAAGAAAGCTATATATCCCCGTATCAAACAGAGCTAAAAACTTGACATATACGAAGTCAAGTATCAATTTAATAAATTAGAACGACAAATTTAAGTACTCAATCACTTAGAAAACTCTCTGCAGCTAAACAGAGGCTCTTCGCTTCTTCAAGTGGTGAAATTCATATGAATTATGCCCAGAAATGATGTGGGCATATTGTATTTGAAAATGCAAAACACAAATTGAAAGGATAATGACCTAATATTTCTTTTAACAACTCCACCACCACCCTAACAAAGAAAAAGAAAGAAACTTTATGCAAGCAAACTGTAAATTCAACCTACTGGTACTGGGATGCGTTCAGCATTATTACAAACATTATTACCATATTACGAAAAGTAAAATATAAAAAAGTTAATTGGATAACTAAGTTATATACACAAAATTTGAATTTAATCAAACCCATAAACAGATATATCTTAAACTCTACAAACAAAACCCCAAATCCAGAAACACAACAATTACGTAAAAAGAGTTGCGAACTTGCCAGGCCACATTGGGCTAATTTCAGAGAACCAGCCAGGGATAATAGTGGAAATACACTCAGCCAGTGCCACCTCCGCCGCCACCCTGTTACTCTTTTCCATCTTAACAGAAATACCACCGTTCTCTTCCGCCTCCTCCTCCTGCGGCCTCTTCACCGACAGTTCATCAATCAGATGGGTCTCCTCTGCCATCTTCTTTTCAGATATATATATATAGATATATTTGTGTGAGCCCTGTGCGGAGGACAAGCGGAACCCATGTGTGGAGGCAGCCTCCGCACAGGAGGCTGGTGAAAGCCTCCGCGTGCGGAGGTTCCAACCTCCGCACGCGGAGGCTTGCGTGGTACCTCCGTGTGCGGAGGCACTAGCCTCCGCATTAGCTAAGGTAGCCTCCGCATAGGAGGCTGGTGAAAGCCTCCGCGTGCAGAGTTTTTGCCTCCGCATCCGCCTCTTGGTTTTTTTTTTTCCGCCAGATTTCTCCATATCTCTCCGCCTCAATTCCTCCACTCTTATCTCCAGTTGTGAAAAGACGTCTTGAGGAAAAAAAACAAATCTAAAGAAAAAACAAACACAGTACGCGACGGGACAAATGTGGACGAACACAAAATTAAAATATAAAAACATGGTACAAAATGGAGAAGAATTCACCGATTTCAACAAAAGGCGCANAAAGGAATGGATATGAAATATGTTAAAATTGAATTTGAATTTGGTCTGCAACTCACGCGTTTTTTCTTTCTTTTCTTTACTTTTTTCCTTTTTTTTTTGCCCTTCCCTTGGGCGGGAAATTGGGGCAGCATCTTAGGCGGGAATACTATGCAACTATCCTTCTTTAATATAGTATAAGATAAGATGCGTAGTTTTGTCTGAATTAGTTTAACTAAAAAAATTATTAAAATTTAAGTCAAAAATCAACAATTAATTTTAGGATTAATGCAGATGTACAGAGGGTCGGTTTCACAGAAGTATTACCGACTCTCACATGAGGTGGGTCCCGAGCTGGACCCACCTAATTAAAAAATTATTCGAATTTTTTCCCGCCCTCCCATGTGTGTATCTGTAGAGCTTCTGTGAAGCTTTACATCTGTGAATATAACACGATTATTAATTTTAACTACACATTTTATAGGAACCACAACCAAATAGGTGTATATAGTGAATGAAAATAATAAGGGAGCCGCCATTTACATTTACCATTGTTATATATCTATCACACTCTATATCTATTCCTGTTAAAATATTATAATTTAGAAAAAAAAAAATATCATTTTCATCCACATCACATTTCAATATCGTCTTTATTGATTTCATTCATTTAAATACTATACGTCCGCACCACTTTTATATATTTATCCCGCACTAAATCTATCCTTATCACAAATTCAAAATTTTGAAAATCATTATATTCATCCCCCATTACACATAATATGAACCTTCTCATAATTCAATAATTAATTCTATAAACCAAAAATTATAAGATGGAATTCTAGAAACCATGAACCCTTATAATCACGGCCATCCTCAATGTGACATTGACTTCATTATTTTATTGAAATTGAACATGATAATTTTAAAGAACTCGTGAAAATTGACAAAAGAAACTTGCCTTTTGTTGATCGCCAAAAAAACTACAATACATTATCAATTTATACTTCATGAATTCAACATTGGACCAGATACATTACTTCGAGCGACTGAGTTCAACTAAAAAGTTCTTCGGCAAACACTTAAAACTACTTAAAAATGCTCTCGCGCAGAAAGAAATATAACTAAATTATTTTATTGAAAAAATAAATTATGTTGTCACATGGAATTAGTGCTATGCTATTTGACATAGTGACTCGTAATAAATATTTGTGAAGATTATCTTTTTGGTATTTAAAAAGAAAAGGGAAAAAAATTATGTAATTCTTATCAAAAATTGAGAATAAACTTTGATTGTAGTTCATTATTATCGTCCATAAAGCATAAATATGCGTTGAAGTTACGCGTACATATAAAGATAGGGTAATACTAAGTTCACATTCTCAAATAGAAAGTTTTGTATTGAAGATACCCACTGTCACAGTGTCACTCATCCCAGAATTCCCACATACACACCTCAGTAGTTCAATTTGGTAATCTCTCTCTCTCTCTCTCTCTCTCTCACTCATAGACAAAATCTTGGTTGTCATTTTCTTTTTTAATATCGAACGATACATATTTTTTGAACACAGTTCATTGTCCCTTTTTAACAGTTGCGTGTAGTTTCGATCCGAAGTTAAAGAAAGATGGGAAATGGAAGGGATAAGCATTATAGTGAGAATATAGGGATATTTTCTCATCTTGCTGCATATGCTGCCGGAGCTAGACATCACCATCCAACCCATTGGGCATACCACTACCCTCCGCCACCTTGTGGATACCTACCCCCGGCTGGTTATCCTCCTCCTGCTTTATGTCAAAGATTCGTATGCTTATTGTCAAATAATGAGCATTTGTGTAGAAAACTTGCACAACATCAGGCTGTATATTTACTTTCCATAGAATCAGGCCATTATGATTATTAGCTTCCGTTCATAACCTTTGTATAAATTGGGTGTTAGCACATGACAGAATACAGACAGAAAATTTGGTTTTCTATCAGTTTATATGGTATCAGAGCCAATTCCGATCATTTGCCTGTGCCGTCTTCTAAATCTGACCCACCATGTCTGACCTTCCCAACAATCCTCCCGTCGATCCTTCTCACGGGGTTTCTCCAACCCTTCCTACCATGGCACAACTCATTGGTGATGTATCTTCTCCATATTTCCTACACTCCTCCGATCACCCGGGCTCCCTTCTTGTCTCCACCTTACTGACTGCTGAAAATTATCACACTTGGCGCCGCTCCATGAAGAAAGCCCTCAATGGCAAAAATAAACTTGGTTTTGTGGATGGTTCACTCATCAAGCCAACTAGTTCCTCTGCCGAATCACAACTCTGGGATAGGTGTAATGACATGGTGTTTTCCTGGATTCTCAACAGCATTGACAAATCTCTCCACGGCAGCTTAGTTTACTATGACAACCCCCGTGATATTTGGACAGATCTTGAAGGTCGATTTTCTCAGAGTAACAATTCTCATCTCTTCAGTCTCCGACGTGATCTCTCCACTCTCCAACAAGGCGGCTCCACTATTACTGATTACTATCACCGCATCAAATCTCTTTGGGATGAACTACAAGCTTTATCTCCTCCTCCATCATGTTCTTGTGGTGCACTCAAGGACCTTCAAGCCTCACAATCTACTGAACGTGTTTTTCAATTTTTAACTGGTTTACATGACTCCTTTGCTGCTCTACGGACTCAAGTCCTGGCAATGGATCCACTCCCCCCTCTAGTTAAGGTTTACTCTATCTTTCACCAAGAAGAAACACGGCGCCTCCTTCACATCTTTGGGCATCCTCCTGAAAGTGTGGCTCTTGCTGCACATCCCCCTTCCTCACAGCAGCGTCATTCTTCCGATCGTGGGCGCGGTTGTCCCAAGTGTACTCATTGTGGTGAAGATGGCCATTGGAAGACAACCTGCTTCCGTATTATTGGTTACCCGACTGGTTGGTGCCACCCTCGTCAAACCCGTGCTAGTCAATCCGCTCAAGCCAATGCTACTCTACCTTCAAATAATGGTTTGGCCCTTGGTCTCAATCCTGAGCAGGAAAAACAACTTTTGTCAACAGTACCATCTACTGCAAATTTTGTTGGTAATTCCGTTGCTTTTTCCACTCACTTGAATTCTATTACTATGGCAGGGCCGAGATCATAGCCATTTCAAATAACAAGGGCTAAAAACTATGTACTTTAGAATCTATCGCAACTTAAAAATTCAACTTCTTGCTTCATAAGTTTTATGCAACGTGTATGTTAAGTTACTAGCTTCTTTTACACACTATTGTATTGAAGACTAGTAAGATAAATAATTCCTACTAGAGTTGTTTATTTTCTACATTTATACATGTGTAACTTTATAGGTGTTTTTTCACGGATGCTCTGATTTTTTAGGTTCCGTGTCATTTTTCGAAGAAAAGTTTTGATTGCTCGATCTTATATACACTGTGTCCATTCAAATTATGACATCTGGAAATTTGATTTGCTCAAAATGTAACACTTCTGTATCATACACCCACTTTGTTTCTCTCTTACCACCTCGAACGAAAGTGTCGCATTTCGAATGATTTGATGTTGGAGGTTTGTAACTTAAATGGGTAATCATATCATGCGTACGTATGACGTTCCATTATTCTTCAATTTTTGGGGGAGTCCAATCATCCCATCATTATATTAAAGATGGACGAATATATGAATTGAATGGAAACAAACTTTTTCTAAAGTCATGTTTGAGCCAAATTATTGTAGAATGAAAATTAAAAATATAGTCGTTATTGGGGCCCATATAAGAGATAAAATATTTAAATGTAAATATTGATGTGATTGATAGCGGTCATATTTTTTATTTTAATGAGATAATAATGTAGATCAAACGGGGACTAAGTTGAATTCACCGTATCAAATTAGTGTTCATGAATAGTACCTAACCCAATTTAAATTTATTTCAGGCCAACCAATCAATTTTCTCTAATTTTGAGGATAAATATATAAAAGAAAAATTGGGCGAATGATTGTCTGACATTATTATATATATATTAAGAAAATATTAGCACTGGTCCTCCTTGTCTTCAGTGGTTGTGGGATTCATCTCCTGTCCACGTGATCAAGGGTTCGAGACTGGTATGGAGAAGAAAAGAGTGAAGAAAACAGAGGTATTTTAAAATACCTTTTTTTGGCCTTTTCACTTCAGCCATATATTTTTTAATAAAATAACATGCAAATAATAAAATTTCCTTTATTTTTTAACCATACATTCTCCATTGGAACGCTATTTTAAAATGCATTTTGTTGAGAAAATGGGACCCAAACAGGCTTTAGTATTTTTAAAAACATATTCTTCTATGTTATTTTAGATATTCTCTTATTTTATCTTATAATAGCAATTTAAAAACTAAGATGAATTGATTTTTTTCCTACATTTTTCCAACAAGATTCAACCAAGTTGATGTATCCTTTACTTTTATTCATGAAAAAATAAGGATAAAGCTGTTTGTATACCAGGTGTACGTACACCCGTCTCACATGAATAGTATGCGCGAATATTTTATTGTGTGTGGGCCCCCCCTTCATGTGAGGGGGATGTAAAAGATTGTGTGAATGATTATGTACATGTAGCATGATTGAAAAAATAATATCAGACATGCGCTTTTTCTTATTGAAATTCTGAACAACACCGTTGAACTACATGATACCTCATCCTAGTTGTTAGACTTTGGGTCAAAGGAAAAAAAAAAAAAAATCTTTTAGATGGCCAAATGAATTTATGTACGATAATATATATTGGAAAACAAATTATCAATCTTCAGCTCTTCTTGTCTGGGTGGAGCTATGTAGCAAATTTCACTGCCAAGGTCAAGAGTTCGAGTTGGTATGAACCCACCCTTCAAATTCTCTATAAGAGGTATTCTAAAATACCTCCTTTTTAATTAAACATTGGACACTTTCAAACATAATTCTTTTATTTTACTTTAAATATCATTTCTTAAGTTTCTAAAATTTATTTTTAATGGCTCTCAAAGTCCAAACTATAGTAAATTGCAATGAATCTTACAGTATAAAAAATGATCATTGAACATCGCCACCCTCCACCTATTTCAGACGAGGAACATCGGTTCATGTTTGATAATTAAATTAGGAGTCACGCACTTAGAATTTGGCGAGGTTTAATATTGTTTAGTAAAATTGATTTTATTTCATATAAATAAGTAAACTTTATTTAATTTTATTTTAAGGATTCAAGATAGAGAAAGTGCAGAGGACAATTATGTACATGTAGTATTATCCAAATGAAATATCTCCCTTTTTTACTTGAATATTCAGAATTTTTTCTATGTTCTTCTATTAATTATAAAGAACTCAGATTTATTTCTCACTTCTTTTGACAATGGAAAATATTATAATGGCCAAAGTAATAAATTAATTTATATGTTGAATTAAAATTTAGAGTTAATCCCCACGTACAGGGAAAATTTCACGGGCCATTACTAGGCTTCTCACATGGGGGTGGGCCCCACCCATGAATAAAAAATAGAAAAAAAAAACCTACCTCACTGTGCATGTGAGTCTAAAATTTAAATTGACAAACAAAGACAAGTTCATCGTATTTTAAGTTGAGTAAAAACATGAATCCAATTGCTAATTCCTCGGCTAAGTTTTTAGAATTCGATATCGACCGCTTGTTTCTAATTAAGTTTTAACACTTTTATTTTTAGTTTCTAAGTTGACCATTGTCACAAATTCTCACTATGAAGTATGATGAAGATGAATGGAATGACAACTTCAAAGAAGATAAAGTTAGACGATCAAATTAAGTCCCCATTTGGCTTCTATTATTCCAAAAAATTATTTTTCTCTATTTTATTTTCAACCAGACATTTTTCAAAAGAATACAATTCCAAAAATTATAATTTGAAATAATGGAGATCAAACGACAGCTTAAATAAAGCTCGGAATTCAATTGATTTTTTAACATTGATTTATGATTTTTATTTTGATAAAACTATATCAAGTTTACTATTAAAAACTGTTAGTGACAATTTTTATTTTTGCAATAAAAACAAGTTACCCGTTGCAAAGTTTTAACCTTTGTGATGGAAATTATCCAACACAGATTTACGAAAAAAAGACCATTGTAAAATTCTAACGCTAGCCTACAATGAGAGAGAAGGAACTTGGGGGAAGGGACTGGCAAATGTTGACAATAATTTGTAGCCACACCAAACAAATGCAACTAGAAGAAAAGATTGCTACAAAAATCCGAATTCAGAATTAAACATCAGATTCATCATTCATGTAAGAAATTTCAAGTTCGAGCCACTGTTCATCCATTGATCAACATGAGAAGCAATGCTAATGTTTGCACATTAGAGACGAGCAAAACTAGATTTCACGGATAATGTTCGACAATCATAAAGGAGAAAAGACAAAAGCAAGATGGATAGAAAGGTTTTAAGAGCCTATTTGGGATAACTTTAACTTTTATAGAAGAACTTCCTCAACAAGCGAATTTTGGTCGGCTACTCTAAAACTCTTCTAATCAGACAAAAAATTCGGAAAATCATCCAAATAGGTCAAAAGCAACTTCTTAGCCTCAAAAGGACCTTCTAGCTCTTCAAAAGTCACGCCAACAAACCATAAATGTGCTTGCAAGATGTGCAAATGAAAGTAAAGTAGACCTGCGGGCTGCAACAAAGTGTTCTCTCTTCTACCAAACACCAACACAGAATGGGAATTATTCACTCAACTTCATTTTTCTTTATTGACTATCTTCAAACTGAAGGATATAAAAAAGGTCTGTCATTTAAGTTGTAAAACTATAGTGACCTTAATTATATTTAAATGAAAATAAAGTCCTGAAATCTCATCGTTAGGAAGTAGTTATACTTAAAAAAATGATGCCAATACACACGCATTAGAAAATAACCGTAGAAGGTTTCTGTACAACGTCATCAGACATCAGACATGAAGATATTGCATTGCATCTTGTGAATATCAAATAATTTGGATCAAAATTCAATCTTTGACATACATGTGCAGTCGAAGTTTTATCATCTACCATTTATGCACAAAGAGCAAATGAAAAATTCATTTCATATTAGGCTTAACACAAATGCATATCAGGCTTAACACTTCTATGGAAGATTCAGTAAGGAATGATGACAAACAAGGAGACATGTAATGATATGAAAATACAACCAATAAACAAATAAGCCTTCATTGCAACAAATCAACAACATGGCAAACTAGTCCTTATTCTCAATAAACTTGCAGATCAAATTTTCTAGCGTCCACAAAATTTTTACCTCAGGGATAAAAGATAGCAGTTCAAGTTCTGTAAAAAAGAAAAGCCATAACAAGAACCATCTTTTAATCCTTCTTTTCACCCGCCTGTACTTTCTGTTTTTTAGCCGTAGCCTGTGAATACAAGAATGTGCCAAATATTGCAATAGCCGATCCAAGTGCATTCAATGGCCTAACCGGATTCCTGAAGACCAAAACAGTAGCAATGATTACAACCACTCTCTTCATAGTGTTCCCGACTGAGAATGTAAGCGGGCTAATGTCATCAAGTGCTTGGTAGGACGATTGATTATAGAGATGGTAAAAAATTCCAGATAACATCACCCATAGGTAAAATGTTGACGGGTTTCCAATAGTTGCAATAGCTTTATGATACCCTGCAACCCATTGAGACCCTTCCACAAAAACAGCCACTGGAAATAGATAGAGCAATGAGATAATACTAATCCAACCATACATATTCAACCCATCAACTTCCTTGAAATTCTGCAAGCTCTTTTTCGAGTAAATGTTACGAAGTACAAATCCAACATTGCTTATCATAGCACCCCACAAGCCCCCAAAATTGAAGGAAACTTCAGTGACAGCAGCCAATGAGCAACCAAAAACAATTGGGAGAATCGATAGCCACACTTTTAATGGATATGATTCACCAATAAACGACGAAAACACCACTGAAAAAACAGGCTCTGCTGATTTAATTACATGAGTGAAAGAAACAGCCACTTTTGAGAATGAAACACATGCTGAAATGTGGCCTATTGTGTGGAAAAGTGCAGGTCCAAGAAGTGCAACAACAAATGACTTGTTGATTTTCGGGCAAGGCTGAAGCTTTAAAGACCAAAGAATAAACATCCAAACAGATCCACAAAACAATTGAAATGACGCAAGAAACCATGGATATGGGAAAATATTCAACGCCTTCTTATTATAAATGTTAAAAACAATGTTCTGAAAGTACCATAGACCAAAAATAAGAGCTAGCTTCAGATTCTTGTTTGGCTTTGACACTTCAATTTCACCGTCTGGGCTGGCTTCTTGTGGAGCTCCAGAGGCTGCTCTGGCTAAAAATCTTGAAGAAAACCCGAAAGGGGTTGTCAATATTTTTCCAAAATCTAATCTTGATTTGGAGATCTGGGACAACGTTTCTTCAGAAGGCCTAAACAAGACTCTATTATTAATTTTTGAAGTGGGTTTTTTAAATGTATGAAAGGGAAACTGTGAATTTCTGTGTCTGTTCACAAGATTTGGATCCAAAAGTGAAGCATTTATGGGACATTTATGACTGGTTTTAGAGAAAGTGACATTTGAGGAAGGAAGAAGATTCAAAGACAACATTTTTACAAATAAAAAAGAGAGAAGGAGTCGAGGATTCCTCAGAGACTCTGCAACTGAAAAGTGAAAAGCCAGAAATTTGATCTAGAAGAGTAGAGGTTGGCTCCTCAATATTAATCGGTAGGTTAAGGTATGTGGTGTTTTATTACATTTTTAAATTTTTTGTATTTTTAGTATTATTATTATTTTTTCTTTTGTTTGTTTGTCAGTTCAGATTTGCAATGATATTTTAAGTAAATCGCACGTGTCTCGAGACAAATAATAAATAGGGGGTGGTAGGTGATATTTGTAGGTAAGATTGCACTTCACATTGTAGTAGTTACTCCATCGTATGAGGTGGTAAGAGTTAGAAATGAAGTGAGGGTAAGAGTTGAGGTATCGCAAATTTTAGAAGTGGATTTTGAATCCAATCTTTCTAATCGAAATTGAACTAGAACTGGAGGATTCGTTAAAAAAAAAAAAAAAAGTTAGAAAACGGGACCAAAATCGAGGTCATGTTTATAATTTGTATAGTAATCGAAGAAAGAATACTGGACATAGTTGAAAAACAAATGACATATTTGTAAATTGACCTACCCAATCCAATCAATATTGAGCCCTTGTTTGGATTTTATTAAAATTCAATTAAAATTTCCAATCAAAGTTAACAATTAATTTTAACCATATATTTCAGGGACCCACAACTTTTCAACCACATGTTTCATAAACTTTTATTAAAATCTATTAAAAATTCGATTTTAATCTCTATCAAAGGGCTTACTCTATTAATCATCATCTCATATTCAAGTGTATCGAATCTTTATCTCGAAGGTTTACATTAATTCATTTATCCATTACTAATGTAACAATTGCATATACAGTGAGTAATTAATTACCCATTTTTCATATCGTCAAGACGAGAGCGAATAAGTCAATGGCACCTCATATTCTTGGGACGAGATGGTCGAAGAATTTTCCCTGTTCGGGTGGCTCTTATGGCCTCTATTATCCTCACCATCTGTTATAAACTTACCACCACACCAAGGTGATCGTGGTTTCTATCACACCGAGAAGAAGTCATACGAACAACAACAGACCCACTCTTCTCCATCTTGGCTATCCTCATCGATCCACTATACCACCTCGAAACCGGATTGTCGTAACCATTCATGTATGTGTAGAGGTAGGTGAGCAACCAAAATATTTCTTTCCCAAGAGCTTTTACGGAATTATCACTGTTGTGGAGGATTGCCTAGGTGTACTCTTTAAGTTGATCTCATGAAAGCCTATGATTCTGTTCGTTGAGATTTTCTCTTCGCAGTTTTAAGGGTGCTTGGTTTCCCAGAGAGGGTTGTTTTGTGGATTTCTGAGTGTGTCACTGCCACTCGGTTTTCGATTTCCATTAATGGCGAGTTGCATGGTCTCTTTGCTAGTGGGAGAGGCTTGAGACAGGGAGATCCTTTGTCGCCTTATTCGTTTGTCTTGGCAATGGAAGTATTTTCAGAGTTAATAGGGTTGTTGGTTGCAGAACAAGATTTTAAGTACCACTAGAGGTGTGAAAAGGAGAAGATCACCCACTTGTGTTTTGTTGATGATCTTATGATCTTTTGTAGAGCTGAGGTAGGTTATGTTTCTCTTATTGGGGACTGCCTTAATCGATTCAAAGCTCTTTCAGGTCTTATTCCTAATCCAGATAAGAGTAATCTATTTGCTAGTGGTGTTTCTTCATATCTTAAGGATCAGTTGCTTGATGTTTTGGGGTATAAGGAGGGAGTTCTACCAGCACGCTATCTTGGTGTTCCACTCATCTCTACCAAATTACGGGCTTTTGGACTATAAGATGTTGGCGGATCGTATTATAGCTCGGGCTAAGAGTTGGACTTGTTGAGCACTCTCCTATGCGGGTAGGTTACAACTTATTGAGTCCGTGTTATTTTCTATTCAGTTATATTGGTCTTCTGTATTTATTTTACCTAAGGTTGTGATTAGGCAAGTGGAATCTACTCTACGTGCCTTCTTGTGGAAGGGTTGTGACCTCTAAAGTAGTGGGGGGAAAATTTGTATGCCTAAGAAGAAGGGTGATTTGGGTTTGCGGAGTATAGAAAATTGGAATAAGGCTGCCATGTTAAAACACCATTGGTCCCTTTGTACGGATTTTGCCTCCTCTCTTTGGGTTTCGTGGGCACGAAGTTACTTACTTAAAGACCGAAGTATTTGGGAATTGAAGTGTCCTGGGGACAGCTCTTGGAGTTGGAGGAAGATTCTTGCACTTCGGGATATAGGGAGGGACAAAATGAAATTCAGAATTGGTAATGGTAGACATGTTTCTCTTTGGTTTGCTAATTGGTATCCTCTTGGCCCTTTAGAGAAGGTTCTTGGTAAGAGGATCATTCTTGAATCTAGATTGAGTAGACTAGCTAGGGTGGCTGATATTGTTGAAAGTGATACTTGGAGGTGGCCATCAGCTCGTTCCCCAGCGTTGTCTGACTTGATGCGAGATACACTAGATACCTTTCGGTATGATAGTACTAGAGAGAATGTCTTGCGATGGGTGGATGATGCGCATGGAGTCTTATATGTTCGGAGTGCTTAGGAGTCTATTCGACTTCGCTGCCCTAGGGTGACTTGGTATCACATTGTATGGTTCCCTAAGTGTATTCCCCGTCATGCATTTATCCCGTGGCTAGCAATTCAAGGTGGCCTTTATACATAGACAATGTTTTTTCGCTTTGGTTTGGTACAGTCTATACGTTGTGTGCTGTGTGGTTGTTCGGAAGAGGATTTGGATCATCTTTTCTTTGCTTGCCCATTTTCTGAGCGTGTGGCATGCTTTACATGCAAAATCTAACTTGCCTTGGGTTCAGCGGAGTTGGTCAGATACTCTTTCTTGGATGGAGTAGTTTCGTGGGAGGTCAATGCGGTCCATTGTTATTCGTTTGATGTTTGCGGCTTCGATTTATGCTATTTGGCATGAGCGTAATGCTAGGACCTATGGTGGGACTCCTAAACATGAATCTATTGTTATTCGAGATATTGTTTTTTTGTTTGTGCACGAATGGATTTATGTGGGGGCCTGGTCCCATCTAGTGAGAGTAGATGGCTCCAACGCTCATGGGGTTTTTCTGCGAATATTTTCTATTGTCGTAACTAAGTTATAAGCACTCATCTTACTGTTATTGGTACTAGAAGGCATTTATTCCTAGCCTAGTTTTTCTGGGGAATGACCCTGTGATCTTGTACTTTATTTTTTCACTGTGGATATAATACACTTTCCTTATCCAAAAAAGATCAAAGCCACAATGGGAAACCAAGGCTTGGAAATGTTTGGCAAGAAAACATAGACAACGAGAAAAATCCCACTTGATGGTTATTCCGTCAGGGTATGTCCGGTGTACTTGTACATGATTTTTTATCTAGTATTTCACATTTACCGATCAAGAAAAAAAAGAGAATCTCTCTCTCTCTCTTTCTCCCCCTCTTTCTAATTCTTCTCCTTTTGTTGATTTGAGATGCATCTATTTAAGAATCTTTCACTATTTATACGTATATATGCGCCTTTGCAAGAATGAAAAAAAAAGTCGAGAATGGGTGGTACTTTATGATGTACAAATGAAATGACACGTCTTGTTGAAAACAATAAGTAACTTACAAACATATATTTATTTTAATTGAATGATAGATTATTTAGTTGATCAACAATTTAGCTATGAGCAACAAAATGCAATCAATGGTGTTTGTTACGCCTCACCTCCGAGAATCAAAGAAAAAGTGTCTCGTAACAAGCCACGTGGGCAGAAAGTCAACAAGATAGTTAAAAGAAGACCCATGAGGTCAAAACACGAAGAAGGCAATCAAAACCGAAGTCCTTTCTCTACAAGCCGAAGTGCTTGCTGAAGCGGACCTCAAAACCGAAGTCCTTGCTATACAAATCGAAGTGCTTGTTGAAGCGGACCTCAAAATCGAAGTCCTTGCTCTACAAGCCGAAGTACTTGCTGAAGCACTGCCTAAAGAATCAAAGAAAGGAGTTGAAGCTCTCCTCTTAGAGAACCACCTCAAAAGATCTCTCCGCGACTCTCAACTGGCCCGAGCTCGTAAAGTCGACATTGTTTTCTTGTAAAATATTTGAAGATCTCTCTGAAGTGATTGATATAACGCTTGTACTAAAGTTGTCAATCTGTCAGCCTATTGTATAGGGCGGCTGGCCCCTTATCAATGTATTAATTTTATGAATAGATAATGATGTGATACCCCAATTAGGGAGATGAGTCCATGTGATTCTAATCCAACGGACACAACGTTGGCCAATGTAGTATAAATAGAGTCTTCCTGTTACTTAAAAGGGGGGATCATTGATGGAAAAATGGACAATCATATATTCAAAATCTACACTTGAACTCTTGAAGAAAATATATGAATATTTCATCTATCCTTCCACATATTCTTGTTTGTTATTACATAGATTAGTTTGGTTTCAACCCGGGAAATCGTTGTTAGTGCGATTGCTTTCGTTCCACCTGCTGGAACTCAAACAATTTTGCCTCTCGCTGTAAAGTACCTCTCGCGTCCATTTCCTCATTGCCACCGCCGTCATTCCTGTAGGAACGCTCTGGAATCGTACTAACTTGGCGTGAGTGAGTCCGACATCTCTTGATTCATTTTTTGGGTCAACAGATTGTTACCATATGTGGAAAACCATACATTTAACCACGAAAGTACATGTGGGAGAAAGCTAGCTTGGAATACTTTGGCAAAAAAGAAGGTTCTAATCCTTGAAAAATGAGTGTCCTTGAAGAAAGGACCGTTAGGTACCTCAAATCCCTGAAAATGGGGAAGCCACTGAAGAAGTGACTTTAAATAGGATGATCCTCTGAAAAGAGAAGGCCGCTGAAGAAGCGGATAACCCCCTGAAAATGGAGAAGCCACTGAAGAAGTGACTTTAAACAGGATGACCCCCTGAAAGGGAGAGGTCGCTGAAGAAGTGACCTTAAAAAGGATTACTTCCTGAAAAGAGGAGGTCGCTGAAG